CCTTATCATGGAAATGTTATTCTCTTTAGATAAGAAGTTAAAGTTAGCCACCTCCAAGTGTTTACAGTTAAGATGTGAGAGATGGTGTTATATTTTATGTCAGTAAGTATTTGATCTCTATTAACATGGGAATTCTGTTATAGAACATCTACTTTTCAGACAGAACAAAAGAGCCTCAGCGTGCTAGAGAGTATGTAGGCTGCAAAAGAGATATTTCCCTAGCACTCTGCCTCTTTCTACTGGAGGCCCTGACCTCCTGAGCTTCTCTTACTCTAATTTCCTCTGTTGCCCCACCATACTGGCCTCCATGTTGGAATGACACTTCTTTATCTCTGCCCAGTCCCCTCAAGCCCATGTGAGACTAGCTTTTTTTGTTCCCCTGAGAACACTTCAAGTAAAGGAAAATCCACAAGCAAACAACTAGAAAATAGTCCTGCTAACTCATATGAAGCCTTTGGGTCAGTTTCCTTTCTTCAACCCTGCATAGTCTCCAGACTCTCCCTTTCAGGCGCTCTCTTGTCTCTCGGTATCTAGACAATGATTCACCTGAACAGCTTTCTTCCCTTAACAATTCTAAGGTCTTCAAAGGAAATCATCTAATTTCAAAAGTCTCAGAATTTCCATGAGTCTGATGCCTTATTCCTATTTCTAATCTGAGACTCTCCTAGTCCAGGGTTGCAATGACATATATTTTGAGATCAAAGAGTGCTATACTTGTACAAGTGATTGTATAACTTAGGAATTAAAATGGTTACAGCATGTACATGGGAAGAACAGGAAAGGGTTCTTTCAGATATATCCATGAAAGCTAGCTTCCTTAAACCTTTCAGTGGGCCCTGTCTGGAAGTGATGAGGGGCACCATTAGATTTATTTTTCCAAAACACAGATCGCTGGATGAGTCCAGTGACACTCTAATGTCTCCTTTCAGCACAATATGTAATATCCTGGGACAGTATCAATTCAATCTATTGCTCTGGAGGAAGGAAAGCCTGGCTGGTAGAATAGCAGAGAGATCTGGATTGAGTTCTAGGAACAGCCTTTCATTTACCTTTGCCTTTCACACTGCCTTGGTTTTAAGAATTGATATGTAACTTCTGGGGAGTTACATGCCAACTCCTGGTCCAGCAAGCCTATGCTCCATCAAGCCTATGCTCCATCAACATGAACTTCCCAGGGCCACAAGCATAGTTCCCATCTCCAGAGCCTTTAGAACCAGCTGAAAAATTGTATGAGTGCTCTAGAATAGCTAAAACAATATGTTTTTTTTTAAAAAGAAAATGTGAGTAATTGATCTACCCAGTTACAGCACACATTATGTAGCTGGACTAACCAAGATAATGTAATTTTGGCATAGAAATGGACAGATCAATAGGACAGAACTTAGAAATAGACCTACAAAAATGTGCTCAAGGTAATTTAAAATTATTTTTATTTAAATTTATTTATTGTTATTATTTGTTTTAATGTGACCAGAGAAAGACAGAGAGAGAGAAAGTGAGAAAGCAAGCTGCCAGGTCGAAGACTCGAACTGCAGTCAGCCATATGGGAATATGTACAGTGTCCTTAACCACCATGCCACCTGCCAGCCCTATGCTCAATGTATTTTTTATAAAGGTGTAAAAAATTCAATAGATGAATAATAATCTTTCAACACAGGGCTGAAGCAATTGGACTTCCAAAGGCAAAAATACTCAACCTAAACTCACCACAACCTATACAAAAATTAACTCAAAATTGATCATGGAATTAAATGTATAACTATGGAACTCTTAAAAAAATAGAAAATCTTAAAGATTTAAGACTAGGCAAAAAAGTTCTCTTTTTTTAAGTTTTGTTTCTCTTTTCATTTTTTGTTTGTTTTAGCTTTTTCTGTAGAGTGTGTGTGCTCACCAAAGAGAGACAGAGAGAGAGAAAGAAAGAGGGAAAATGAGAACTCACCCCCCAGAAGAGATAGCCATGCTGCAGTCACTTCTCCCTTCTCTTCTCAATATTTTAGGCATGAATACACATATGCCCATAGTGTTTTTCAAGCTGCTAACTCTGGTACTCAAACCACAAAGTCAGCTATGTGGGATCTAGCTGCCTTAACTACCATGCCACAGGCTGGCCCCAAGGCAAAGAAGTTCTCAGTTTTGACACCAAAAGCTTAAACCACAAAATGAAAACTTAAATGGGGCTCATCAAAATGGAAAAATTGGTCTTTAAAAGACCTATAAAATAAGATAAAAAGAAAAGTTACAGGCCAGGAGAAATATTTATGAGCCACATAACTAAAAAAATAAATTATCTAGACTGTATAAAAAAAAATCAAAATTCAACAGGGCAGCACAGATACCAAACACTTAAATTAGAAAATAAGCAGAAGATGCAAACATATTTTGCAGAAAAGGAAATTTGGATAGTAAGTTAAGTACATAAATAACGTGTTCAACATTGGCCATCACAAGTGGTAGAATACTCCTGCATGAGCCTGGGACCATGTTGGAGGACCCAGGTTCAGTTCCTGGACCAACCCTACACAAGCTCAGTATGGTGACATACACCTATGATTCTAGCTTACAGAGGCTGGGGTGCAAGGATCACAGCATCATGAAACCCTATCAAAAATATCTTTCCCTCTCTTCAGTCTTCTTTCCCTTCCTCTCTTAAAAACAATGTTCAAAATGATTATTCCTTAGTAAATGCAAATTAAAACGGCAAGATATCACTGTACACCTACTACAATGGATAAAATGAAGAATAGTAGAAATACCTAATGTTGACAAGGGTGCAGAGAAACTGGATTATTCACACCTTGCTGGTGAAAATGTAAAATGATATAGACACTCTCAAAAATAGTATAGCAGTTTCTTAAACCACTAAACATACAGCTACCATATGACCCAGCAATTACATTCCTGGGCATTTGTCCTGGAGAAATGAAAACTTATGTTCACCTGAAAAACTATAACTGAATGTTCATAGCAGAATTGTTTATAATAGCCCAAACTAGAAACAACCCAGATATCTTTTAATTAATTGTTATATTATTAAATAAACTGTGGTACAGTCATACAATGGGATATGACTCATTAATAAAAAGGAACCAACTACTTATGTGTGCAACAACTTGATTGAATCTCTCAGGAAGTTTGCTAAGTGAGAAGAATCAATTCCCAAGGATTATATAGAGTATGATCCCATCTAAATAACATTCTCAAAATAATGTAATTTAGAAATGGAGAACAGATTAGTGGTTGCCAGAAGTTAAAGAAAGAGGGGGAACAGGAGAGAAATGAGTGTGGTTATAAAAGTGTAACAAGAGTACCTCTTTTGATGATGAAAATACTCTGTATCTTGACTGTCTCCTTAACAATATAAATATCCTGGTTTTAGTTATAAGAAATAATGTGTACCTTCTACCCAATTTCCTAATAGTAACATTTTGCAAAACTACAGTACAGTCTCACATGTGAATCTATAATAATTCCAAAACAAACAAAAAAAAATTAAGTTTGGTTTTTGCCATAGGATACCTATGCTTATCAGACACAGAGAGAGGGGAAGTGAGAAATCAACCCCTGGGAGGATAGCCACACCACAATCTCTTATCAACTCTCCTTTGGGGTTTTGGACATGCATGCACACACACTTGGAGTGATTTTCAAGCCTCCAAGTCTAGGATTCTAACCATGATCTGTCATGTGGGAGTCCAGCGCCTTAGCCACCATGCCACCTGCTGGGTCCCAAAACAAAAATCTTAAATAAAATAAAATCAGCACTCCGAGAACTCTCATCCTAATATTGTCAGTACCCTCATATTTCTAAAATATACTGCCTTTCAAAACTGGATCTTAAAAAAGAAATTGTTCCTTCTCATGGAAGTATCAGTGATGGTGGCTTAGTATGATGCTGCTTCCAGGGTAATTGGATCAAGTGATCAAACAAAGGCAAACAAAGGAGCTGTAAGATTAGAATTTCGGACACTGGCCAACAGATGAAGGTCTCTGGGAGCAGCAAAGAGATGTTCCTGGCATGTCTGAACCATATGCTGTATGCTTTATCCTAATCTGCTCTAAATATAGATAAGTATTAAATTTTGACTTTAGATCCTCTGGTACCTAGAATCTACCATTAATGTGGATTTTACTTTGATGATTACAAACCTACCTACAAAAGTTTAGAAGGTCCTTAATCTTAGTGTCATTAAAACTCTTCCTTTTGTAAGCTTATAAATATATACCAAATCCTCCTTGTTTTTCATGAATCATATCCGGTGGTGAGTTTCCTTTCTTCCTTAACTACCAATGTCAAATTCTCTATTACATTCAAGTTCACCGTATTCAACTTAGGGCAGAATACAAAATCACATATACCTTATGCTTTTAGAAAATAATTTCTACCCAGACATCTCCCCTGAAGTTAGTATTTCTTCTCCAGGCTCTTTTGTCTTTTAAGGGGAGGTGAAAAGGGATAAAAACAAAGTCCATTGAAGTTAAATGGAGTTTGTTGGGTTCTTTGTAGGAGCCAATCCTGCATAAGGGATTATAGTCTTTTGGAAAGAGCTCAGAGCTGAAAAATCAAATAAATGGGTCCCAGTATCCTCATCTGTAAAATGACTGATGGCAACAATATAAATTCCTTAGTGATACCTGACTAGATAAGGAAGTGTGCAGTATTGAAATAATAACCATGCCATTCCAAAATCTGTTAGGGAGAGGGATTCTCCTCTTGGGTGATTTTCAATACTAGGCCACACTCTCTAAACTAGACTGCCTCGTAATATCCACACAGAATGGTCACTGGGTTATTTGAAAAGTCCCTGGTTATGTAACTTACACCTTATCTCTTTGATCTCTCATCTACTCTAGGTATCAACTCTGCCCGCTCAGTTCCTCCTTCCCACCCACCACCGCAGGACCCATTAAACCAGGGCCAGTACCTGGTCCCCGATGGCATCGCTCAATCGCAGGTCTTTGAGTTCACCGAACCCAAGCGCAGCCAGTCACCGTTCTGGCAAAACTTCAGCAGGTTAACCCCCTTCAAAAAATAGTACCTACATACAGGGAGGCAGATAATTTTAAAAAAAGTAAATAAAATTATATTTATAGATGGAGTTTTTTTTGGAGAAGCACTGTTGAAATTCATATATATATATATGTATGTATATATATATATATACTCATCACACACAGATATATACATACACACACAGAACCTTGAGTATACATACACATGGACATACATACACATGTACATGTACACACACACACACACACACGCACACACAGAAGGACCAAAAACATTTTCTGTTGTTTTTGGGAAATGAAATCTATAGCTGGTAAGAAGAGGTACCAATGACTTCCAAACATGTAATCTTTTCTTAAAAACTTTCAGTTCTTACCCCATCCCCCTCCTTTTTTCTTTCAGAAATTGACATTTCTATTTGTTCCCTTTCTTGTTGAGATAATCTCTTTGCTCCCCTGTGAGTAATTCATTGACTTAGTATTACCATGGATGTATTTGTATTGAGTTTTCCTTTTCTGATGATACTGATGCTGATGACTTTTGAATTTAATTTGATGTGGTGGAGTTTGGGGGTTTGGGATTTCTTTTCTCCCTCTTTCACTATTCACTGAGGAAGGAGAGGATCTTATTTCCCTTCTCCCAACCATCTGCTAATGTTGCTGCAGCCCTGGAGTTGCTCCAAACAGCTTTTTCCCAGCTTCCTCTGTCCTCAGTCATACCAGTCTGAACATGCTCTGTTGTGCCCTGTGACATACTGCTCAATATTTCTATTGGTTTCACTGTGTTTTAGGTATTGTAGAGAGATAAAAAAAAAAAAAACAACTGAAGCAAAGGAGTTTTTAGTGATGCTAGAAAGGACATCTGGTCAAGGAACATTCTATATCTGGGCTGTTTCTTCTAGCACTGCAAGTTCCCACATTGCAGCACTGCTTATCATTGCAGTTTTGCATCTGGGAGTTAGTTTGAGCCATTTATTTATTTTTTTCAAGCTACTTTTGTTATGGGTCTCCTCCTAAGCCTGTTCTTCTCCTAGCCCAAAAGAAGATATTAACTGAAAGCTAAGAGGTTGAGATTCTGTTTTCTAGGGGAGGGATTTACCTGCTCCCAATGTCAACCAAGTAGGTTGAAGGTAGGGTTGCCTACAACAGTCAGTTCACATCCTGGTCATCCCTACTCCCATTTTCAGATTTTTAAGGCAGCATTGATAGGAGTCTATGGTGGGGTTCAAGACAGAGCCACCTTCAAGTTATTATCTTGACAGGGTTCAAGGCTGACAATTACCTCCAATAGGAATGAATAGAGACACATGGAAAGAGAAATCCTTGATCCAAGATATTGTACCTGAAGTTCCTATCACCCAAATTGTGTGAGACTTCCCCCTTTGTTAACAGATTGCATGGACAATCTTTTCTGACTTTCTTAC